AAAGTTTGGGGTCAGCAAGTTTTTTTTTTTTTTTTTTTTTTAAAGTGACAAAACACACAAAAGATGTTTCTTTTTCATCATTTTCATTTTCAAGTTCATCAAAGACTCTTGAAAAATGTACCAGTTTCCACAAAAATATTAAGCAGAAATTGTACATTAAAATAAAAAAAATCTTTATTTTAAATTGTAATATTTCCACAGTATTGCTGTGTTACTGCGTTTTTGATTAAATAAATGCAGTCTTGGTGAGTATAAGATGTTTCATTCAAAGACATTAAAAAAATCTTAACCTCAAACTTTTGAATGGATGTGTATGCATTACACAAATTAAATCAAGTAAAATAACACTTAAAAAGAATATTTTGTGCATCACGTCCAGTCAAACTGTCATTTTAATAAATCATACAAAAATTAAAAATTGTATTTGTGCAGAATTGACAAAATGCTGGCAATGAAATTAGCCTCAGCAAGATGACAAATTTTTAGTGGTCGACAGATATATCGGCCGAGATTTGGCATTTTTCAAATATCGGCATCGGCCGATAAGTTTTTCTGTTTGGCCAATGTGTTCGAGGTGGGACTTTTATTTTGACGGCGATGAGAGCGGCAGCACCTGAGCACACAGCGCTCACGTTCTCCCTCTTGTTCGCTGTCGTTGCTAACAGTTCTGTCTAATAGGGATATAAGTCTGTCTAATAATCTGATCGAACTGTTAAACAAAGGAATTAAGATGTATACAAAAAGTATTATAACGATTGCTTTTATATTATTTGCCCACTGTCATATTCATGTCATTTTCACTGTGTGCTGTGTGTAAAATGAGTGTTACCTTGGCTTTATTTGAAAAAATATGATTCCCAATGCACTAGGGCTGAACGATAAATTGCATTTGCGATAATATCGCGATATGAAAACGCGATTTTTCAATCGCAGAGGCTGCGATTACACTCGGTCACGTGACACGCGAGAGTAAAGAGCAGTAACACCTGACAACAAGGGTATCATTTGCTTTTGCTGGTGTGTTCATGTTGCTTCCTTGCAGAAAGGACATTGCAGTGCTCTGTGAATGCCAAGGACCCGGTTCAGATATCAGATCGTGATGGAGAGTTTGACCATGCCAGTAAAGGTTCCCGAATCTTTAGCCTCTCTAGAGAGGGAAGAAAGGTCAGCGAGGCGGGAATGGAAGCTAGCAGGTTGCGGTGTCAGTTAGCAGCCAGGGTCACTGATGGATGGTTTGTGTGCTTTAAAGGGGTCTTTAAATACGCATGATTCACAGTTCTGCCGTTCCTCCTACTCAAGTGTTGGGATGCCAGATTCTCCTGCGAACGCTGAGCGTTTCTTGCCAGTGAGACGGCTGTATTACAAAATAGTGAGGAGGACATTAATCTGATGGCAGGCCGTGTGCTGACACTTGCCATGCATGCAGAATCTGATTAAATAAATCCAGAAGTAATGCTTTTCTATCCCACTGGACACAATCTACTTGCATTACAATAGCAGCAATCAGGAATCCACTGGAGCTGTAAACTTCCAATAAGAGAGGAGTATTTGATGGAGTCTAGCCCAGGCCGATGCAATATTTTACGTGAATGAAACTGAGGCTGTGAGGGTTAGCCGTTGTTCGTTTTAATAGGTTGTGCTGTCATGAGGTCCTATATCACATCACAGTACATCACATTATTTTTCTCAGAATAATGTTTTCATTATTTTCGGTGTTTTGGCTGAGTGATTGACTAGCCTTCGCTTGTCTCTTCCTCAGAGCCTAATTTTCATTTGCGCAAATGAAGTATCCCTGATTATGGTCCATTGAATGCTCTCTCATTGAACATTTATGGTTGGTAATTTTATAATGCAGTACGTAGAAATTATATTCACTCATCCACCTGTCTTTTTAATATATTATTTGTCATAGTTGTTAAAATATCACATGATTATTCTGTGAATTATTCTGTTTTCCTTTTAGCAAGGCTTTTCCTGCATATATTATTGAACTCATGCATTTTAGTGAGCTAGGCTTTGCTTAGTCCTGGGCTTTTTCTGTGCTAAAAAATAGAATGTTTAGTTTAAATACGAAGCAATTACTTAGTATTTGTGCTGCGTGTTGATTTTTATTAATTTTTTTTCCCTTTGTGGTTAAGGGGTGTTTTAAAAAGCTTATTGTCTTATATTCTGGAGTTAGTAAAGAAAAGGTTCAGATTGAGTACTCTGGAGTTTGGAGAGATAGCCGGGACACAGTTTGCTGAACTTGGACTGATAAAGGCATTAGAGAGGATTACATATTTTAATTGCAGCCATGTTCATAGTGCTTTTGTTTGAGGTTTTTGTTAATCAGGTGTGCATCAAATTAATGCTTCCAAGTTGATAAAGACTGCCAGGAAATGTATTAATTTGAGCATTGGAGTTTTAAAGTGTTTATAAACCACCCAAAGAAGAAGTAGTGTTTTTGCTAAAGAAATGTGTAGTAGTAATAATATACGTATGTATGTATAATATGTGACCCGTGCTGGCAAAATCAGTCTGAATGCGCACGGGCTAATTTTGAGCTACAGACGAAAAAAATTGAAATGTCGAATTTCAGGTAGGGCTGCCACTAACGACTATTTTTATTTCAATTAATCTATCGACTAATTTATCGATTGATCGATTAATCTTAACGATTAATTCCCCCCCCCCAAAAATCTACAATTTTACTTAAGAATATTTTATTAAACTATATTTTATTAAACCAAATGAAATCCAAATTTCCATGAAATCCCTTTTTTAAAGCAAGCAAAAGTAAAGTGCAACAGAGTGCAAGAAGCAAGTGTCCATCTCAGTCCAAATCACTGAAATCAAAGTTCAGTATTATATTGTAAGAATGACAACATATCCACGTGTTCTAGTCTACTAATAATACAATTATAATCAAAAAACACTTTTTAAAGGAGTATTTACCAGAAATGTTATTTACCAGAATTTATTTAGGAGAAAAATGTAAATGTGCAGTATTTCTGAAAAAAAAGCTTTTTTTTTTTTTTAATCAAATAAATTAATTGGAGATGCTTTTCATCTCCATGTAATGTAATGGTACCATTACAATGGAATCCATAAAATAATGGAAAACAGAATTTGTTAAAGATAAAACCGTAAAACTCAATTAACTAGACAGGCTTTTTGATTAATAAAATTTAATTTAACCATTAAAACAGAGTATAGAAAAATGAAAATGGAAAAAAACTGAATTTGGAAATAAAACTGATTTCATAGGGCCCTATAATTATAATAAATTTTTTTGTGGTAATAAAAATAGATGTAAGTGAACAATAGCCTTTAAAATTACTTAAAATACATATATAATAGCAATGAGGCAATAATTAGTTCAAATAAAGTATCAAAAGCAAGAAATCATATTGTTTTAGTGAACAAAACTGTTAAAATACATATTGTATTATAAACAATAGAGCTAATGTACATTACGCATTACAACAAAGGCCTGCAGAGGGTGCCAACGGTCTAATGATTGTTTTTACACACTGTGCGATCTAATACTTGTTTGTAATATTCAGTACGATTATCAAAGCATAAATCCAGTAAATCGCTTCTATCAACACCTCCAAAGCTTGCACAGACATATACCACTTCCTGGATCAACATTTTACTCCGTAGTATTATGCAGTTTTCATTTATATGCTGCCATTGCTGATGATCGCATAATTTTTCATATGCAACTGTTTACATAAGAGATCGCTGGTTTCTCCGTTGTCAATGGCGGGGAAAGAGTTAATATTGACCAAGCACCATTTAATTCAAATGTCCACTTAATTGTTAATATTTGGCCATTTCTTTAGGACAGAAATGCTTTAGCCACTGCAATTAAAAGAATATGTGGACATCAAAACGTGTAAACTCAGAGTGAGGGTTTGAGCTTTTATTTTGAAACCGATGTATTCTCCTGAGTTTGCGTAAATTTATAAATGATTTGCCTTACAAATCTGATGAAATGGCGCACGTTGCGTTCCCAGATGAACGTTATAATAAACCCAAACTCACAACAACATGCAGAGATGGAGTTTGAGACACTCCACACATGAAAATGATAACCGTTCCTGTGGAACTACTGTGAACGGAGCCGCTGCGTGACGCACGTACTTAACCTACACACATGTAAATAATTAAAGCGCATATAATGTATTAGAACTGCATCGCATATAATTAGTTAATTAAATTGTAGCATTTGTGAATTCACAATTATGCTTAATTATGATTTTTAAATAGGTTTAATATATCATGCAGCCTTGGGAAACAGTCTAATAATGTGTTTTATGGATTCTCGTCCGTGAAATGCGCCACTTCCGGTATTTTGCCGGTTAGTCGACACGAGCAAAATGAAGTCGAGGATTTTTAAAAATCGAATAGTCGAATAAAATCGACGTATTGCGACAGCCCTAATTTCAGGTTTTTGAAAATTTGCTCATTGTGACTCATTTTGCCAGCACAGGTCACATATAAAAAAAACTAAAACTAGCAAGTGATTTGTTCTAAGTGTCCAAAATACAACTCTGTATAATTGAGTTTATTTTATTTATTCATCTTGCGGCAGAAAACTGGCCTAAAGGAAAATCGGCAGAAATCCTTGATCAAGTATGCATGACTGATTGAACAGGTGTCTTTCTGTCTGTGTGCACTGAACACAGTGAGTCAACAATTCTTGTCCTTGGAAATACTTGTCCTTCAAGATTAAATAACTGAAACGTCTTTTTTCCATCTCATTAAATAATCTATATTTCTGTTGGTTGTTAACCGTTTAAGTGCTTCCCAGTGGATGTTCTTGTTGTGGGCTTTGTGCTTTGGCACCGGTGATGATTGGCAGTTGAGTATTTAATCTGTCATTTAGGTAGTGTCTTAACACACGCACCTCTTCTAGCCATCAAACACATTGTGACAGGCCAATGTTGATAAAATGCTGTTTTTCCCCCATTAGAAGTGACAATATGTTATATTCTGTTCTTTTTTGTCTAAAGGTTCAACTACAGATCAACTCATCATCTCACAACTAATGGCTTTTACGAGTTTCTCAACTGGTTTGATGAGAGGGCCTGGTACCCACTGGGCAGAATAGTGGGAGGGACGGTAAGTCTGCCGGTTTTTTTTTTTTTGTAGCCTTTAACCTTTTTTCTTCTGGTTCTTGTTTTTCTTTTGTTTTATTTTTCTGGTAACACTTTGCAATAAGGTCTCATTATGACCCATATATTTTCTAACAACATTTATTAGTCTTTTTTTTTTTATTATTTGTTCAATAGTTAATCTTTTATTGTTTAAAACAAAAATAATATTTCAAAATGTTTGTTCATAGTACATTAAATTTTATTTAAAAAATAAAATGTTGAATTTAAGATTAATAAATGCTGGAGTATTTTTCCGTTCATTGTTAGTTGAAGTTAATGTAAATACCATATATAATATATATAGATATAATAATAGAACCTTATTGTAGTTTTACCATATTTTCTTTTTCATTTTCAATTCTTGACTAACACAAATGTTTCATTTAAAATCAAGATTGATGCATCTTAATTTATGCGTAAAAAACAAAACAAGTGAACTGTTATACCACTTTCTGCCATCCACAAGTCTATCATTTAAAATCAATTGTCGTTTCCTGACAATTCCTTTCACTTCCTAATCCAGAATTACTTCTACACAAATTATTTGTAGTTGAATGCGTGATGTCCACGTTATTGTTGCTGCATTCCCATGCCGAATGTTTGTTTTATACAGTCGCTTGTGACTCGGCATCACAAACGGCATGAAATAATTTCCGCTTCTTGCAAACTTTGTGGTTAGCTCTATTTCTTTGACAGCAGACTTCTCGCATCATAGCGCTCTGACCTTGTTCCTCGAACTGTTAATGCTGCAGCATTGTTCACATATAGCATCAATGCAGAACTTTTCCAGTAATGTTACAGCTCTGTAAATTGCTAGATCTGTTTTGTCTGCATTTTGACAACGGTTCTTGTTAACCTATGACCTCTATATAAAAAAATGCAGTTAAATTCATGCCAAAGGCTGTTTATGTGCAAGCGCCTATGGACAGACAGCCTCCAGATGATTTCTGCTTGAAAACAGCATCTTTCGTCCCTAAATAAGGCCACCCCCTTTAACACTCCCTGTCACTGAGAATTGCAATGCTGCTGAACCTAATGAGCTCTTTCCCTGGCTGGAGAAAGTTTGGCTAGCGTTTGGCATCTGACAGCTCTGGTGTTGGAGCTGTAGGGGGGCTGCAGGAGGCAGAGAACAGCATCTGTTGTTGTGTACAGTTCAAGCAGTCGTTATACGGCCTTCAGTGCAGGCTGGTCTGTTCCCAGCACAGCCTGCAAACGCCGCTCATCGCATGAGAGACGAAAGACAGGGTGGGAATGTGGAGGTAAAGAACGGGGTGTTTCCTTTCTCACTGCTGTTTGTCTGATGAATTCAGCTTCGAAAATGAAAAGTGTCATCATTTACTCCCCATCATGTTGTTTAAAACTTGTATGACTTTCAGCGGAACACAAAAAAAGATAATTTGGTCATACAGGGAAAGTCAATTGGGTCCAAAACATTTTTCAAAAGATCTTCTTTTAGGTTTAGCAAGTCATACAGGTTTAGAATGGAATAAAGATGAATAAAAAATTAAATAAATTTGCTGTAAATGTACACAACCTCAGATGTAGATCAGTTTGTTTCTTCAGAACAGATTTGGAGAAATTTAGCAAATTTAAATCACTTGATCACCAATTGATCCTCTGCGGTGAATGGGTGCCATCAGAATGAGAGCTGATAAAATGAGAGCTGATTGACATCGCGGTAAACTGTAATCCACACAACTCCAGTCCATCTGTTAACATCTTGTAAAGTGAAAAGCCGAATGTTTATTAGAAGCAAATCCATCATTAAAGCGTTTTCATTTTAAATCATTGCCAAAATACCATAATAACGCTTCCGCCAGTGAAAAAGCCCGTCCCCTGTTGTCCTCCCCTCACGTCAAAATCCACCAATGCATTTGTTTATAACTGTTGTGGATTTGTAAACGTTGCTTGATCTGTGCATATTTCTCTCCTGGTTCAGACAACTTTTTCCACTGGAAAAAGCAATATCCTGGATGGAGGACACCAGCAGTTTGAAGTTAAAAACATCTTGATGGATTTGTCAGTGATGGATTTGTTTGAAAAAACAAGCAGCTTTTCACTTCACAAGAATGTTAATTAATGGACTGGTGTCGTGTGGATTAGTATGATGTTTTCATCAGCTTCTTAGCTTGTTCTGATGGCACCCATTCACTGCAGAGGATCCATTGGTGATGTAATGCTAAATTTCTGCAAATCTATTCAGATAAAAAAAAGAAACGCATCTACTCCTTGGATAGCCTGAGGGTGGTTGAGAGACATTTTTGGGTGAACTATTCCTTTAATACGATTGATTACCAGGCTCCTAAGGGTGTGCTTGGGCTAAACTTCTCATTATCTCTATGTCTTGGGGCCAATCAAATATTTAGTAATGTTTACACACTTTCTTACAAATCCTGATTTTATTAGTTATTTTTTTTCTCAAATTGCTGCAGGCAAACTTCTAGTTGATCAATTTCGCATTCGATTGCAACTAATAGCATCTCCCATATCTCGTCTTTTGCAGGTGTATCCTGGTCTGATGATGACGGCGGGCCTGATCCACTACATACTGAATCTGCTTCATGTGACGGTGCACATACGTGATGTCTGCGTGTTTCTGGCCCCGGTTTTCAGTGGCCTGACTGCCATTTCTACCTTCCTATTGACGCGGGAGCTGTGGAACCAGGGTGCCGGCCTGCTGGCGGCGTGTTTCATCGCTATCGTACCAGGCTACATATCACGCTCTGTGGCCGGCTCGTTTGACAATGAGGGCATCGCCATTTTTGCCTTGCAGTTTACCTACTACTTATGGGTGAGTAGTTTGTTTGTGTACGTTAGTTCATCGTAGTTCATCAAAACTAACGAATTTAATATGAAATGAATCATAATGCACCTGTATAACTTTTGTGTCATATACCAAGTCTTCTGAAGCCATTTGATAGCCATTCATCGTTATTTACTGTTAATAATGACATCTGTAGTAGCTATTGAATTCTTTTGAGTCAGAAACATCTGAATCATTTGTTCATGAATCTGAATACTATTCCGTTATTTTGAGTAAGATCAATGAATCCGTTTATTTGAATTCATCTGAATCATTAATCTAAGTGATCCGGTTCTCTAGTTCTGTTGAGTCACATTCTTTCAGTAAATCACTTGATTCAGATTACAAAATTGATCTGAATTATTTGTTCATGAATCTGTATATTCCAAGTTCTCTGGTTAAATTCTTTCTTACAGTGGTTCTCAAGGTAACAGCTCAGTGGAAGAGAAGATTATCAGTGAATAACTTGCCTGTTCATAACAGTTATCATTTGACTTCAAAGGACTTCGAATATAGCGCATGAGTCATGAGGACTAGTTTTATGATGCCCATTGAGAACTGTTCTAAAATGATGAAAAAACCATTTCCGCAAGTGTTGCGCTGTCCCGAACTGTTGAAATGATGAATTAACCTTGATAGACGTTCATCACGTTTTTTTCAGCTGAATGACGAGACAGCTGGAACGGATGCAGTGGCAGCATACTTTGTCTCTTTTGGCGCTGTGATTTTTAGCCCATCTCTTCTCTCTGGAGCTCGCTGTCAGCTGAAACGCCAAGGACTTTGCTGTCAAACCTGACTTAAACATTGAATTTCCGTGGTCTCTTTCTTATCTCTGAGTGTTCGTCGTCTTGGCTTTGTTTGAGGTGATGGTATCAGACCCTTTGTTTGGGATTAGCGGAATTAACTTAAGTGCGTCCTCTCCACACAGGTGAAATCAGTGAAAACTGGCTCGGTCTTCTGGGCCATCGGCTGCTGCCTCTCGTACTTTTACATGGTGAGTTTTCATTGGATTTTTTTTATGTTCGGGTGGTTTATGCCATTTCAGTTCTATTAATGGTACTTGGTAATACCATAGTAAATAACCTGGACAGCTTTTCCTGCCACTGCCTATAGGGAATTACACTACTTTTCAAAAGTTTGGGTTTGGTAAGATATTTATTTATTTTTAATAGATGTCTCTTATGCTCACCAAGGCTATATTTAATGAGCAAAAATACAGTAAAATGTTTTACAAGTTCAAATAACTGTTTTCTATTTTGATGTATTTTAAAAATAACTACTCAGACCCCCTAAATTTTGCTATTAGCTCCATAAACTGTACACAAATTTGTGATCGCCTCAGTCCCCTTTAAATTTCATTTGAAAACGGCGGCAGACTTCGATCGGCTCCTCCTCATCTTTCAGCGCGTTCTTTTTCAGTCCGCAGACTGCAGCAGCGCAGAGCGAGAAACAGAGGACAAGGTGTGTGTTTATTGATAGATTGCTATAATATCTGCATCTGTGCAGTTCTTTTGTCATAAATAGTTTACAAAATATCATGGGGGAGCAATCGGTTCCCCATCTACTGTAGCATGAGTTTTCGCTGCGTTCACTCCTCATCACACCACAGCTGTTTCCTCCAGTGAAAATGAAGCACATATGAACGCATTCTTTATAAAACGATCATGTTGCCATTTTCATTTGAAAAGTTAACATTCAATGTAATACATATTCCAGTGCATGTGGCAAAGTGGTTTACATACTTGAGCTAAGGACAGAGGGTTGTACTAATGCCTACAGTAAAATTTAGTGTTTGTACAGTAAACAGGTGTGTGTGTGTGTGAGAGAGAGAGATCATGAATTTGACTTGTATTTGGCTTATTCAGTTATGTTATACCTATCTATGCAATACAGTGGAATACTGCAATAAGTTTAGTATACCACCCCTATTAGTCAAATTTTTTTTATTAGGCTATATATATATTGTGCTCCGATCGGGATTTTTGAGGCCGATCACAGATCGCCGATCACAGAAAGCAGTCTCTACCGATACCGATCACCGATACCGATCTTTTTAAAGCCTTCTTTTTATCATTTATAACCATTTATAGTGATACTCCAATCAGGATTTTTTTAGGGCCTGAATTTCATTTTTTCCCCTCTTAGGTGACTCTTGTGAGAGGGGAAGCAGCACTGACTGCTTTCACACAGGAGTCCGCTATTGATCCGTGGCCGTTTACCACAAACACAACATTTATCCATTATTTTGATTTCAAATCCAAACATTGTCACTGAAAATGTTTTTTCAGCATTGCAATTCTTTTTTTACGCAGTACAGTAATACAATCGTTCACAGACATGTTTAAACACAATAAATATAAGAAACACATTATTCAATGCTTTTTACTTTTGCATTTACTTCTAGATTTATATATTAAGTTGCTCAAGCAAGTGGCAAAACATTTAAACTACTTTTCTTACGTTATCACAAACTTACCATAGAAATAGTCAGCTCTACTGCTTTTCCTTTTGCATTTAAATCTTTATTAAATGCAATCCTGCGGTTCATAAAGAACTTTGTTTTCCTACCTCCACGAGTGCCATCTATTATTGCCTTGTTTATCTAAAAGTGCTCTAAAAGTTTTAGCCAAAAAGCCATATGTGTTGACTGTGAAACACAGTAGACTTTAATAATATGCATTTATGGTGTAATTACTACATTTTCGTGTCAATCCATGTTCATGTTACTTTAATTCAGTGCTTGCAGCGTAGCAAACATAGACTCTCATGCGGAAATTATCTCTGCACTGCTGCAGACACACCGCTCCTGGAGCGCACTACCGGACCGCAACCGTGTGCAGTGTGCACGCTTTAATCCATTAACATGAGCGCGGAAAACATACGCACCACGTATGCACTGCAAACGGAGTAATGTGAAGTCCTGTGTCAACTGTGCAGCTGGCTTATAGACAGACGCGATGTGGTGATTTGAAGCCATTTGCGCATTTTAAGAGAGAAAGAGAGATTGCGCGCGGTGATTCACTCACGCTGTTTGTGAAATTACGTCTCTCACAAGGTTTTCAAATTTATAAGTTATTTAATGAAGAAATATGAAGTTGAGTACCTCACTTTCAGCATTATAATTATTTCACCCACTATTATAAATGTTGAAAACGGCTTTCTATTTTTGTGATGGCTTTTCTCATGATTCTTTTGAGTAGAAAGTTGAAAGGAATAGCATTTTGAAATGGCAATCTTTTGTAACTTTAGAAATATCTTTAAAGTATTAAGAAAATGTGCTTACCACGGACTTTTGAACAGCAATGTATAATGTGACCAATGTAGTCCAATTCGGTATTAAGTGAGTTGTGAAATGATTATTTTCTCTGAATCTGTCAAAACGACTATCAAATGAGTTACAAACAAACTCATCCGTCTGAAACGGCCCATTTACCTACTGAACAAATTGCACGCTTTCAGAATTAACATTTGATTCACTCAATGAACCGCAAGTCATTACTTGGTCGTATCATTTGATTCATGAACTTTTTTTTAAGCAAGGTTCATGAGACGTAAAACAGTGTAATTGCTATGAAATATTGTTGCGTAATATAAAGTTAAGGATCCATGATCGTTAAGTGGAATCGTAAGCTGAACCAGAATCATTAAATTCTTATGATTTCCATTCATAGTGTTGTGTGTTCTGGGGCTGGTTGCATGTCTCTCTTGCTCTTTTTCAACCTATTAATGTGATATGTAAAATAAATGAAAAAGCAAACAGCACCATCCATCATGCCACCCTGGTGGGGGCCACGTGCCAGTCAGTTATGAATATCAGCTATTTCTGAAACTTGAGCTTCTTCTCCTGGAGGAAGGCAGCGCTCATTAATAATGGAAGCCTACAGCCCTGCCCAGCCCCCAGTAGTCTCTGGCTTTCCAAATGTGTTTATAAACAAATGACACCAGTGCAATCTGAGCCATCTGCTCCATTGAGACCTTGGGGTCCAGTACAGTCCGATATGTCCCAGAGACGCTACCGAGGGCAGGAGTTGAGAGATGCTCTCTTGACCGGGACATCCTAAGTGACCTAGAAAAGTGCAGAGGTTCCAAAGGCTGTGTGCGCTAATGGAGTTTTCTGGTAACTGTGGTGTATCATAGGGCTGAGAGCCAGCAGAGAGACCTGGGCGATGTGATATAACTTGGTCACGACACACTGCGTTTCTTTACCTTTAGTGTGTGGTTATTCAAAACAGTGGTATATTGCATATGGGTGTTAGAGAAAGAAAGAGAGAGAGCTCCCAGCCATGCGACAGTGAGTTAGGCTATTTACACACTGCAGTTTTTACCATGTGTCAGATAACTATGCAAATTCATTGATATAAATGGGAATAGTGTGCTGTCAAGATGAGAGGGAAACCACAACTGTCCTACAGTACTGTTTGCTGTATTTCTGCTTTATTTACATTTAGAACAGCTCTTTCCATGGCATAAATGAGCTTATACAATCAGTCTTTCCTGTCAAATGCTCTGTCAAAGTGTCGTAGTGTGTAGTCGAACTAAAGCAGTTATAGGACACAACATGCAGTCAAAATATATTAGTGAAATCTAACAATTTATTAACCAGTGGCTAATGACAGATATTTAGTTGCCTAGTGCAAAATTTAGTTGGTGCCATTTTCTAAACTTGTAGTAATTTTGGGTTTTTCGGTTGAGTAGATAAACAGTTTCTGTCTTTTGACAATTGTCTTGTTAAATATAGTTTTCATTTTATTAATTTAAATTTATTTTTTAGTTTTGTTTAATATTGTCAATGTCACTCATTAATTTTAGTCAGTTATACACTGACCCTTTAGTCTTGATGTAAAACTGACTAAAATGAATGGCACTGGCAGTTTTTCATTTTTAATCTGTTAACAAAAATAATGTAATATGACTGTCAATGTTATTAATTAATTTTTAATTAATTTTACTTTGACTGAAATAACAAATTGTATTCAATGAAAGAAACATTTTAGTTGACAATGTCACTTCGTAACAAACCAAACTTAAACCAATGTATGTTTGCAAGGATTTTTTCTCCCACATTTTATATTATATTATATTCTTCACGATATGAATAACTTCATATGATGATGATTAATATACACAACAAACACGCAATACACCATGAACAACATTGTCTTTGTTGTAACCCGAATCCCTGAAATATAATAACCTTATAATTAATATTGAAGTATTCGCTACTTCCCTAAAAATACTGATTCCTAATCTAAGAATCCTGATACAGTATCATCAGGCAAAATATTTCAGTATTTAGCGGTGTTTTTTTTGTGTTTTTTTTGTGTGTGTAACGTGACGTGTTTTGTGTTGCAGGTGTCTGCATGGGGAGGATATGTCTTCATCATCAACCTGATTCCTCTCCATGTTTTCGTGCTGCTCCTTATGCAGCGCTTCAGCAGGAGGCTGTACATCGGTGAGTCACCTGTGTTGTGTGTATGTTTGTGTGAGCGTCTCTGCTTTTTGTATGAAGTACACACATCACCGCCCACACAATCACGCCATGTAGTGCTTGTTCTCCCGTACAATAATGAAGCGTGAACCTGCTCTTTCCCACTTGCTTTTTGATTTGGACATACAGAAATGCTTGCGCAGCCGTGGTCGCTAAGTGCTCGACAGCACGAGTCTCTGCATTGACAGCAGCATTTAAAGTTGATGTTGATGTTTAATGACACATTTTTTCCGCCCACTTCACTCTTGCCTTTCACAACCAATCACATATGCAGCGCTGATCTGAGGATGCATGGATCTTCGTGTCGCGGAAAAAGCCTTTGAATCCAGACATGCGGTCTTAAACGCCAAAACGACATGCTAACTGTCAATTAGGACCTCTGATAGCACGAATAAGCTTTCTGCAAAGTGAAAAAAAGACATCAGTTCTTTTCCTTCAAGAGCAAAGAGTAATTTTGTTCACTTTGATGGGTTACGCCCTTTTTTTTTTTTTTTTAGGCGGATGAATAATTAAAGGTGCAGTGCTTTTGTGAGGCTCCTGAGTGAGCACTCTGATAAAAGAACGGGGCCTTGTGCCACTGGGCTAATTTTGTTTAAATCTTTATAAGCCCCTCCCACTCTGCTGCAGCTGCCCTGTGCAAATTGCACTACTGATGAATGCTGGGTATTAGCTCAGTTCTGGAAAGTTCTTGCACTTGCCTCTGGTCCCACTACACATTTGCCATGGCCCGACTCCACATGGAGTATCACTGCCACCTCTCCTAATAGATCATAGTGATTAGATTAAGTAGCACTGCTCTCGGTTTATGGGGTTTATGGGGCTTGGACAAAGAACAGAAGTCATGTTCAGAGATGGATGGAGAGAATGGTGTAAAACCAGTGGGATTTGGTTATTGCATTTCTGTTTCACCTTGCTGTCTCCTTCTAGAGTGACGTCTGCTTTGGTAGCCTCAGACATCACGTTAACAGTCTATTTAATGACTGTTTAATGTATGTCTTGCCCACAAAATGGCAAGAACTATCTGGAAATCATGTCTGAACCGATTGGCTAGTTAATACTTAACTTTCAAGGGTTGCCTAAGTTGGTTTGCCAGCAGCCATTTTACTCTTAGTGTTGCGTAGCCAGACCTTCAGATTGACGTCAGAAGGTCTGGGAACCTTGGCCACTTTGAATGGCTAAAGCCCACCCAAGAGGCCATATGACTGACGGGTAAAGCAATCAATCATGTTTTGTTTTGTGCCTCATCATGTTTAGGGGTGTGGAAATGTTGCCACAATAACAGACCTGTGTGTAAAACTCTTGGACATATTTTAAAGATTCTATGCATTGAACTTGAAATAGGCCTATTTCTCATACTTTTGAAAATCCAGCGTTTAGTTGATCCTGATAAGCGCTCATTGTCATAGTTGTAAACACGACTGCTTTCTTCTTTGATGAGGGGGTTTGGCATCACGGCATCTTTGTTTCAAGGCGGAACGTTAAAGACCGCAACACACACGTCTCCTGGAAATCCTGTATACTTGATATTTTACTCCAATCTTCAGTGCCACATGATCCTTCAGAAGTGATTCTGATATGCTAATTTGGTGCTCAAGAAATATTTATTGAATATCGGTGTATAAAACAGTTATGCAGCTTAATTTCGTGGAATATTTTTCAGGATTCTTTGAATGGAAAGTTCAAAGCACACAATATCATTGCAATGGACATGTTTTATAACCATGTAAATGTCTGTACTCTCGGTTTAATGCATTCTTGCTGAATCAAAGTATTTATTTTTGAAAAAGATTCTTTCTGACCCCCGGCTTTTGAAGAGTAATGTAGTGTATTGAAGTTGAAGTGCTAAATTCTAGTTTATTTTTCTGAGGTAGTCTGTGCTCATTGCATCAAAATAAAACCGTTTCGTCTACTGATTTCTCAGATATTTACTTTACAAACATTAATAGAGACTCAGACTTTAAGCTAATATAGCATGGTGGTCTTTCATTTAAAGGGATAGTTCACCCAAAAATGAAAATTCTGTCATTAATTACTCATCCTCATGTCGTTCCAAACCCGTAAGATCTCCGTTCATCTTCGGAACACAAATTAAGATATTTTTGATGAATTCTGAGAGCTCTCTGTCCCTCCCATAGACAGCAATGTAATTACCACGATCAAGGTCCAGAAACGTAGTAAGGACATTGTTAAAATAATCCATGTGACATCAGGGGTTCAACCGTAATTTTACGAAGCTACGAGATTACTTTTTGTGCGCAAAGAAAATAAAAACAACGACTTTATTCAACAATTTGTCTCCTCCTGTACGCGTCACCCTGGTGGATTTTGGAGAGTATCCACTGAATGTAAACAATGTATGCTGTTCTGAGTCAGCTGCGCCACGCGGATACGTTTTCTACGCTGTTTACGTTTTGAAAAAAACAACGTATCAGCGTGGCGCAGCTGACACAGAACAACATGCGTTGTTTACGCGCCAGGGTGACACGGAGGAGACGAATTGTTAAATAAAGTCATGTTTTTATTTTCTTTTGCGCAGAACCAATAACTGTTGATTCTTGGCCAGAATAAGCTGTGATGTAGACCAGATTTTAGTCAGATACTATGGATATATTAGCTGCTTTCACACTGCAGGAGTAATGCATGTTTCAGAAACTTCAGAAGTAGTCCAACTTGTCAGAATAGTTCTGAAGTTCCTGAAACTCGCATAGTTGACATCCAGAGAGATTTGGAGTTGTCAAAATATTCTTTGTTCTTTCTATTGTCTCAGATTTGCATGTCTCCTTTCCATCCCTCATGTTAACAACATAAAACCAACAGTATCCAAAGAGTAACAAAAGCGCAGCTCCAATCCTGGCGTCTTCCATCATTGTCCTTTGTTGTTGCTGCTATTGTGTGGTGCACAGAAATGACACAACTAGATTGCGTCACCACAGGGTTCCCATTGTAGGTGCCAATGCAAAAGGAAAAGTGTGTAGTTCCACTTCCAGGTAGTCAGTACCAGAACTAGATGTTCCGAAAGCCATTTTTGTGACTCCAGACCTTTCATATTTCATCACTAGTTAAATCAACCCTTTTTAACTCTCTTAATCGCTACTCTTTTTCCAATTCCTTTTGAGAGTTTCTTTTACAAAACCACCCGTCAGCTGTCCACGGATGAGGAAATGCTATGTTTTTTTTGTGTGTGTGTCTGGAGTCTTAGGTCAGGTGTGTATTGTCTTATTAGAGCATCCCGTTTTAGAGTGAAGATGGTCCGGTTTGACCCTTAATTGATGCTTCTCAAAGGCTGACAGCTCATACAGTTGCTTTGTCACAAGCGGCTTCGGTTTCCTCTACTGCGCAGCTGTATCGCCGTCTCTCATGTACACACACTCGCACCAGTGTGTTTTGGACCTCTCTTCTGATAGGCTGTCAACACCTGTCTCTCAGGTAGGGGTCCACTTCACGGATCTGTCGGTCAAGTGTTGCACAGGTGGCAGACTGTTACGGTTGTCATTCTTCTAGGAATGACTGCTCTGTCACTGGCGTGTCAGTGTTTCTTCTCCATTTTGTTTTATTGTGCAGTATTTGTCATTTTTGGCTAATAAGAAAAGACCGGTAGAAAACTCTGATATCTGGTTTAGAAAAAGAGGAAAATACTGTATGTATATTATGCACTAAAATAGCTTATTTGGTGTGATATACAACCTCTTCCTTTCAAAGTGGACGTTTCTTGATCCAAAATAAGAGTGTGTATCTTCAAGTACAATTTTTGTCGTGTTGTTTGACTCTTTTACTCAACTGCTCTTGTATTGCTGGGACGGGAGCCCGGATTAGAGCGCATTCGGGGACATCCGAGGCCCCGAGTCTCCCTACACAACCCCGTTCTGCTTCAGGCAGACCCACATTCCACTGCTGCCATTGGACAAATGTAAATCCAGAACAAAACTGGAGTGAACTCAATAGCTTCTTCTCAGATAGCAGTCATACTTTGCAAATTGTGGTGGTGCTTTAAAGAGACTTTTTTCATTCATTTACTTAGCAGACTCTTTTATCCACAGCAATTTGCAAATGGGGAGAAATGCACAGGCAATTAATCATAGGGAACTAACAGTATTAAGAGTGGCTCAATGTAGATTTTGAGAGAGTGCAAAGTGGTACAGAACAGTGGAAATATTATTTTGGAAACCATGGTAACGTTTTTTTCATGATCGTTTTACGAATAGTACGTTTTAAAAAAATGTAATTTATTTAAATGGAACTCTTTTGTAACATTGTAAATAACTTTTACTGTTTCTTTGGACCAATTTAATGTACCCTTGCTTAATAAAAATATGAATTTCTTTCCAAAAGAAAAAAAATGGTACATTTACATTTGTGGATTAGCAGGTGTTTTTTTTTTTTTTTTTTTTTTTTTTCTTCTTCATTGTAAGTGAATTACAATAGAGGATCATAAGCAGTTCATCATAGGGATAAGGGATAGTTCACTCATAAATGAAAATGCATTTACTGATTTACCCGACCTCAGGTTGTTACCAACATAAAGTGCACAAGTCATAGTCTAAGACCACTTTCAGGATACATTTTTTGTGTACTCTTTTTGATGTGTGACAGTCTGTCACCATTCATTGTAATTCCATGGAGGACATTTTCTTCAGAATTACTCCTTTTGTGTTCCACTGAAGTCACACTGGGTTGAACGTAATTGCGGTGAGACAATATTGACAATCTTTATTTTGGGTGAGCCATCCCTTTAAGTGCTCACATAAGAGCCCCACCCTTTTTTTTTTTGGAGACATATCACAGTGACCATCTAGGGGACACTAAGTTTGATAGTTCTGGTAAGCATCTTTGCTTCAGATAAATCTTGATTTCTTTTTCTGTTTCTCTTTATCTCAGCCTACAGCACTTTTTATATAGTGGGGTTGGTGCTGTCCATGCAGATCCCGTTCGTTGGCTTCCAGCCCATCAGGACGAGTGAGCACATGGCTGCTGCAGGTAAGACTGGTTTGCCTCTAGTCTTCTTCAACTGTTGCTCTTTTACACTGATCTCAGATCATCTCTCTCAACTCAAATCCATAAACTCATGAGAGCGATGATTTACGTGTCATTAGATTAGCGCCAGGAATTCATGACCGTTGGGAAAGTGTCTGACAAAGTTGAGTATGTGGATTAATGGTGCATGTGTGTGTGCGCAGGTGTATTTGCACTGCTTCAGGCTTACGCCTTTCTGCAGTATCTGAAGGATAGACTGACCAGGCAGGAGTTCCAGACATTGTTTTTTCTTGGCGTTTCTCTGGCAGCAGGGGGGGTTTTCCTTACTGTCATTTACCTGACTTACACAGGTGAGTGCAAAAACACAACACTTAAATAAATACATTTTAATTAGAACAGTTTTCTTGACCAAACTTTAACCAAACTACGACCACAAATGTGAAGGTTTTTTTTTTTACCCCAAAAAAATCAGGCTTGGTTTACATAAGCCTTTGAGTAAACATCAGTTAGTCATAGTGGGATAAACTGTTCCACTTTTTACTAAAGTTGTCCTCTAGACAAGAACAAGTGAGAGAGGTAAAAATAAATATGATTTATTAATTATGTCATGTTTGCGAATACAGCATGTGGTGTATGCCATGCCTCATCTTATTCATTTTTGTTAATAAACATTTTGTAAGCTTGTTTGTCATTGTATCTTACAGTTTTATTGTTGTTGTGCTTTTTAATTAAGAATAACAATGAATCCATATTTTGTTTTAGTCTTAAAGTGAACTGTGTGTAGATGTATGCAAGCAAAACAGACAATTATCTTTTCTTGTAAAACTTGACAAGATCGCGAATTTGAAAGTGAAAGCATCCGAAGCCCGGCTTATAACTTGGCAAAAGAGGAACTCCCATTCACAAAATTCAAATCACAAATAATATTACTAATGAAAAAGAATTGGTTGAATGTTAGCCACTTTCGTTTCCATATAACTATAAACTATGATAAAAGTTCATCAGCATGCATTGATTAATCCCATGTTATAGCGCAAAAAAATAAAAAAATAAAAATATTGCGACCAAATCATGTGCTCGTGCGACCAACTGAGAAAGTTAGTCGAAAAAGAGCGACCAGTGGGAAGAATGAGTCTGGAGCCCTGTAACATTGTCTTTACAGTCACTTTTGATCAAGTGTTGAATAAAAGTAACTTATTTAAATACAAAAAAAATTTGCTTTGACTTTCATTTACCTGCCATGTAGAAATCTTACTTTAACATGCATAAACGTTAGTAGCTTAACAAAGTCACTTGTCTCATGTTCATCATATATATCAAATATGTGGTTACATGCTAGAAATTATGCATTGTTTGCTGGTTTGTCACAACTTTAGCCATTGACATTTCTTACCCCACTCTGTATTGAAAGGTCGCAAGTGTCACTGGAAGATGTTTTTTTTTTTTTATGCTGTGCTATTTTACAAGGTTGTCAGTAAATAGATCGCACCATAATAAATTGTCACACTGCGTGACTGATTTGCAGAATAAAAAGCTTTTTTTTTTTCTCAACGTAATATTAAAAAGCTTCATTGCTGTTTACTTGTCACATAGAGGACACAACGCTGATGAACTATGAAACACTTTTTTTTTTTATTTTGACGTTCGAATAGCAAATTCTTAAATTATATTTTGCCCTTGACTAAATCATCCAAACCAAACATCTTTCAGTAAGAAAGGAGAAAAAAGAAAAACCCATCCACACCATCACATCCAATTCTCTGCCTTCTCACCTGAATACAGCGTGACTCTATGACCTCAGCCTCTTAACTCCGCACCTCTGCCGGTATATATGGAGTCAGGGTGATTTGCTTGTATTCCCGTTGCATCCGGGGCTTTCATTAATCTTTCTGCTGCAGGGCCTCATCTGCAGCAGTCCTCTGAGATCTCATTAAGCACTTCCCTCTGCTCGCCACACTGCTTTTCAAACCGAGCGCAGTCTCGTGGTGTAGATTAATTGAAAACGTTGCCGGCTATATGTGTGGTATTAAGGTTCACTGGACGTAGTCCAAGCTCGTCAGCTCCTCAGAAGCTGCTTGAAAGTGCTCTTGATAATGTATTGATAATGTCAGTAATGGTCGGGTGGTTTGCGTGCGCGTGTTTGCGTTTAATCACTCTGTTGTGTTAATGTGCTTTCAGGGTACATTGCTCCTTGGAGTGGGCGTTTTTACTCTCTCTGGGACACAGGGTAAGTATGCCGTACAGTTTACATTGCATATACTTTGTTTAAGTTTTGGTGTTCCATCGTATGAGTAAGTTGCTAATAGCACATTAGCACACCCTGTTAAGCGGCTTAACACAAGACCTGATTTTGTCAGGGACTCTAGCATGTAGCATGATTTATGTCTGTAAGCAGCCTCTTGGATTGCTTGAATTATGTCTGAGTAGCTGCCTTCAGTTGATATTCATTCACGCCGCCATTGAAACCCCACTTCTAGTTCATAGATAAGTAGTGCCTGATATTATGACACATTGTAATTGTTATTTGCCTTGATGTAATCACATATTAATAGAATTCACAAAGCCAGTCAAGAAGTGTTTTGGGTAACACTTTAGTATAGGGACCAATTCTCACTATTAACTAGTTGCTTATTAGCATGCCTATTATTAACATAATGGCTGTTTATTAGTACTTATAAAGCACATTCTGCATTCCTAATCCTGCCCAATACCCAAACTTAATCATTACTTTACTAACTATTAATAAGCAGCAAATTATGAGTTTATTGAAGCAAAAGTCGTAGTTAATGGTTTGTTAATAGTGAGAATTGGACCTTAAAATAAAGTGACCTGATTTTTTTTTTTTAGACGTAATATTATCAAGTATATATATATATATATATATATATATATATATATACAGTGGGTACGGAAAGTATTCAGACCCCCTTGTCAGTGCCTTTCATTCATTGTAAATTTTAATGAAATTTTATTAACAGTTTTATTTTACGAAAAACAAAGCGTTTTAGTTGACTTACATTGTAGCAAACTTTAACCAATGTAATTCTGTGAAATTTTTTTTGTATAGAATATTGAATGGGAAATGTGCTTAATCATACTAAAACTTGTTAAAATGCAAATCTTAATGGTCCTAAAAACAGGCAAAGATTCTCTTGATTTTGAAGTTAAACTGTTTCTCGACAGACGTCTTGAGACTTGTATATTTACATGTAAATACTTACTTTGTATGGACTGCATGTCATATACTTTATGTAGGCTGCTAAAATACTGAAATGTTCCTGAAGTAATTATTGCTGTTTTATACAAGTAGATCAAGACCTAAATGGTTGGCTTCACATTGCAATCAAGCTGTCACTTCAAGTGTCTGAGCTCTGCAGTTTATTGCAAGCTCTCACCACACATTCTAGTTTTGTCACATCACTCACTTGCAGAGTATATTGGGTGTTACACCTAGTACGGGGAAAGCGACTGGTGCAACATTTAGTGCAAACTTTTCAGGACTCCGTTTTGTGCACCGTGAAACAAATCATACAGCTGTGGATCAAACACACTCAGTAGGACAGGTTGTTGTTACCGATAGGCCTTGTATCGTAATTTCGATTGTTTATTACATTTTTTGGGCAGCTCTGCAGGTACAGCAGTGTTTTTACGCTTTTACCTCTCAGACGTAAACCCATTACTTTTTTGCCAGCTTCTTGTTCTTTGCCCTCAGTAAAACGTCACCCATCATAAATTCATAAATGTGTAACCCCTCAATGCAGCAGCTATGCAGGGAAGGACCCACAGTCCTGTCGAGCTCTCGCTGTGCGCAGTCAGCCATCTGCGCCGCAGTCCACACAGATACAGAAGGTCAGGTCGCCAGATAATGATCACAACACTGATAGTCGCCAAAATTGAGCGCAGTAATGCAGCAAAATTGAGAGAGCGAACAGCAGAGCAACTCCACATCAAACAACCCCCTGTTCTGCACCCGTTTTAACACGCTGTGCAGTTTTCGCCTGTCCAGAGTCTTGACGTTGTTTCACTTATTGAGTTCTGTTTTCTTTTTATAAAGCAAACTTTAGCCCTTAGGGAGTGAAACTGTAGATCAAGACCTAAATGGTTGGCTTCACATTGCAATCAAGCTGTCACTTCAAGTGTCTGAGCTCTGCAGTTTATTGCAAGCTCTCACCACACATTCTAGTTTTGTCACATCACTCACTTGCAGAGTATATTGGGTGTTACACCTAGTACGGGGAAAGCGACTGGTGCAACATTTAGTGCAAACTTTTCAGGACTCCGTTTTGTGCACCGTGAAACAAATCATACAGCTGTGGATCAAACACACTCAGTAGGACAGGTTGTTGTTACCGATAGGCCTTGTATCGTAATTTCGATTGTTTATTACATTTTTTGGGCAGCTCTGCAGGTACAGCAGTGTTTTTACGCTTTTACCTCTCAGACGTAAACCCATTACTTTTTTGCCAGCTTCTTGTTCTTTGCCCTCAGTAAAACGTCACCCATCATAAATTCATAAATGTGTAACCCCTCAATGCAGCAGCTATGCAGGGAAGGACCCACAGTCCTGTCGAGCTCTCGCTGTGCGCAGTCAGCCATCTGCGCCGCAGTCCACACAGATACAGAAGGTCAGGTCGCCAGATAATGATCACAACACTGATAGTCGCCAAAATTGAGCGCAGTAATGCAGCAAAATTGAGAGAGCGAACAGCAGAGCAACTCCACATCAAACAACCCCCTGTTCTGCACCCGTTTTAACACGCTGTGCAGTTTTCGCCTGTCCAGAGTCTTGACGTTGTTTCACTTATTGAGTTCTGTTTTCTTTTTATAAAGCAAACTTTAGCCCTTAGGGAGTGAAACTTTTTTTTTTTTTGCCATTGGAGATGCGCTTCGTTGATATATAGTAGGCTTTATTCTTCAAAGTGTTGTTTTGATGTGGATTTTGTGGATGCTTTGCACTCAAAACTGACGCAGTCTAACTGAACTCTTCTGAAAAATGTTAGACTGGTTTTAAAGTCAGTATGAAATCGGAATGTACGATGGTTGACTGTCTTCATAATCTTTCATCAAAAGTGCATTCTTCCTCTGAAATGACTTATCTTTTTGTCTGATGTCACCTAGGCCGTGTCAGTTTAGTTCGTCAACTGCTAGCCAAATAGCAAGAGGCGTTGTTGTTAGTGCAGCTTTCCGATAGTTAATGCAGTAATTTAAAGGAATAGTTCACCCAAAAATGACAATTCTGTCATTAATTACTCAACCTCATGTCGTTCCAAATCCGTTTATCTTCGGAACAAAAAGTAAGATATTTTTGATGAAATCCTAGAGCTTTCTGACCCTGCATAGACAGCAACGCAACTGAAATGTTTAAGGCCCAAGAAGGGTAGTAAGGACATCATTAAAATAGTCCATCAGTGGTTCAACCTTAATTTTATGAAGCTACAAGAATGCTTTTTGTATGCAAAGAAAACTAAACTAACTTTATTCAACAATTCTCTTCTGTGTCAGTCTTCGATATCACATGGACTATTTTAATGATGTCCTTACTACCTTTCTGGGCCTTGAATGTGGTAGTTGCGTTGCTGTCTGCAGGGTCAGAAAGCTCTTAATTTGTGTTCCGAAGATGAACGAAAGTCTGATGGATTTGGAACGACATGAGGGTGAGTAGTTAATGATATAATTTTCATTTTTGCGTGAACTCTCCCTTCAATGCTGGTTAGTTTTATTTGCAACATTTAATACAAAGCCCTCCCTGCCTCCTATGCTCAGATACGCAAAGATCCACATCCCCATAATCGCCTCTGTGTCAGAGCACCAGCCCACCACCTGGGTCTCCTTCTTCTTTGACCTGCACATCCTCGTCTGCACCTTCCCAGCAGGCCTCTGGTTCTGCATCAAGAACATCAACGATGAGCGAGTCTTTGGTGAGCATGTCTAACGTCCTTGAAATTACCAGACGATGCGTCTGCATTCAATTCAGTTCATCGTTTAAAGTCATTGCAAAAATGGCTCAGAAATGTGAAGTCCTGAGAAAAATTCTAGCATTATTTGATTCCAGATGACACTTGATTTTATGATTTCATCTCTAATGCAATGCCATTTAAACTTGTGTGCCTTACATGTCCAAATACTTTTTTTTTTTTTTTTTTTTTTTTAGGGAGAAATGTCTTATTTTTGTGTTTTTAATATCAATATTAAAACTATTTATAAAA